GCCTTGAGCAAATCTTACTTTGCAGCCGGCATATTGAGACCCAGGTAGCTGGTTCTCCGGTTTTTCCTTTAAAGTTTGCACCGTGGTGGCCCTTCCTTACAAAACAGGTGTACGCGAAGGACGTAGTTGCATTCGCTGTAACGTGTGGACAGGGGGTTGGTTTTGCGCTTGTGTGCCTGTCAGGTGAGCCTTACGTTCCGTTTAATATATCGCTTGGTTTTTCTTTGTTATACGCCTTGAGCAGTTCTTACTTTGCAGCCAGCTTAGGTACAGTGATTAAAACCCAGGACCTGGTTCTCTGGTTTTTCGTTCAAAGTTTGCACCGTGTTGGTTCTTTCTTACAAAACAGGTGTACCTGAAGGGTGTACTTGCATTTGCTGTAATTTGTAGAGAGGGTTCTGGTTTTGTACCTGTGTGCCTGTCAGCCTTACGTTGCATTTAATGTGTGTAGTACTGATGGTTTAAACCCCATGGTTATTTTGGTAATTTTGGTCTGATTTTTCTCAGGGAGACTCAAGGTGGAGTCCAAAATCTGTTTACAAACTTGCAACGAACAAGTTACACAGTATCTTCTTCGTAGAGATGCCTTCCTTTTACACACTGACTGAGTTACTGGTCCCCAGTTACAGTTTTAAACTGAACATGTGTGTTGGCTGTATCTTATAGTGAGATGTGTATGCATACATGCAAGAATGTGTGTGTCCACTTTAACATAGAAACAGAACTCTTTTTCCTTCAGCTCCTGGGAGAGAGTGAATAAGCAGTGTTACAGCTTGCTCTTAAAAGTGTATACTTGGGAGCAGGGCTTTTTTTGTAGAAAAAGCCCAGCAAGAACTCATTACCGTAATAGGCCACACCCAACAGCAGAAATGCATTAGCATATTAGGCCACACCCCTGTGCCTTTCTTTGGCTTGCCTGGGCACCCCCACAGCTGCGGGGAGCCCGGGCAAGCCAACCCTTGGACAGGCCGGGGAAGGCACAGGGAGGCATTTAAATGCCTCCCTGATCCTTCCAGCCCCCCCCCCTGGCCTGCCCGCCTCAGAGTCACCGGAGGGGGGTCGCTCTCCAAGCCTTCTCTCTGTAGCCAGGCACGCAGAGGTTTTGGCTGTAGTGGGCGCGGCCAGCTCTAAAGCCAGCCGGAACTCCGTTCCTGTGCGTTCCTGCCCAAAAATTTAGTTTAGTGGAACTGATTTCCCTACTAAGCCATCTTAGGTTTGCAGGCTTATAGTGCCATCCTAAGCAAGTTTATTCCATAGGGCTGTACTTCTAGGACAGCACTGTTCCGTTGTGGGGAAAAACTTAACTGGCTCAGTGGCGGTTAATGGGTCATAGGTGATGTAAGAGATCTTGGCCTGAGACCTCGAAGAGCTGCTACCAGTCAGAGGGGCTGATATCGATGTTGTTAGACCAATGGTCTGGTTCAGTAGAAGGCAGTTTCGTGTATGTTTAAGAGTGTTTTGGCCCTTTAATAATCTGAATGAGCAGACTCTAGTCATCAAAGACACATGCTAAAAGGAAACACTTAGTCTTTAAAGTGGCACTAGCTTCCTGATACCTTTCTGAAAGTTTTTTCCCAGCCAGTTTGGACTTGGGCCCAACTCTTTAGTTCCTGGAAGCTTGCACCCAAGTCATTCGATTATCTCTAAGGTTGCAACATTAAACCCCCCCCCCCCCGGGTGCAAGCCACTTGGACCTACCTCTGAGTAGACCTGCTTAAGATTGCCCTCTGAACTGCCACATATACCCCCCCAGTCCCCCATGTATTTTTTTCTTTGCTGTTTTTGAGAGGCTGTCCAGAGCTTGGCCACATGTTTTCTGTGGGTTTTGCCCTTTTGTTTTTGTCCCTCTTCATTTTATAGTCTTTGTTTATTTAAAAAAGTCTGCATCTTCCACATCTTAGTATGGCATACTAATCACTACACCATGTAGGTTTTATGACTGGGAGTCTTTTAATAATATAAATAAAATATAATTACTTAGTGACTGAATTGGGGCAGTGCCATAGGAGGAGTAACATCTAATTAAGTCACGCGTAGGCAGGGCTGTGTGTGCATTCGCCAAACTTGCTATCAGGAGTAGGAAGTAATGACTGGATGCAGCCTTTCTTCATTCTCAGGCTCCGTTCTGATTCTCAGAGCAAGTAATTGGTTTCTTGGTTGCTCAGGAAGACTGCAAATAATTGCACAATGTCTGGTGGAAGGCCAGCAGTTAGAGAATACTTCCAGTGCCTTACTTACTACTTATTTCTGTGGTTCTGTTCCCTTTCTGTGAATCCTCCATCCCACCCTTACAGTGATCTTGAGCTCACTCTGTTTTGTTGTCTTCCATTTCCTTTTGACAACCCATTCTTTTAATAAAGTTCCAAATCCCTTGAAAGTCTCCAGTTCTGAAGGGACTGTTGAAGTGGGGACGACAAATGGAGTTCGTGGCATATACAATATTTTGGTTGCAGTGTTTAGGTTTCCTTGGCAGAGTTTTTTAATGTTTACATTACAGGCAGCCATGGTTATTATTGACGTTAAAGGGCAGCAGACTAGCTTGGAGAGTTTTTAGAAAAACTGGCTCGCACACTCTTATGTTGGCTTTAAGAGTATTCTTTTTCGTGTGAGAAGCCAGGGAGGGAGATGTGTGTTGAATACTTCCTTTAGAAATCTTCACACTGCGTGTAGAGAGAAATAATGTTTCTGCTTGGAAGAGTGGTCTGACGCTGGGGTGTTCCAGTTTTCTTCATCTGTTGGTCTGTGAAAGCCCTGGGCTCCACTTCAGATGTTTGCGGTGGGCGGGTGGGGAGACAGAGGAAGCGTGTTAGTAACTTGTGCTCCACGTGGCCCAGCTGCAGAAAACTATAGTTAAGTTGGCCACATTGAACCCCATTTGCCATGTTGACGCCCACTTGCCCATCCTTGACAGATCCCTTTGGGGTGCCTCACAATCCTCACTGGTTTTCACCACCCTGAACAACTTCGTATCATCCACAAATTTAGCCACTTCACTGCTTACTCCCCACTCCAAATCATTAATGAGCAAGTTAAAAAGCAGTGGACCAAGTTCTGATCCCTGCGGTACCCCACTGCTTACCACCCTCCACTGAGAAAATTGCCTATTTATACTCAGGTAGGCAAGCTAGATCTCTTGCAGCCAAGTAAGCATTTCGAAACTGTGGGGGTCATAGGCCCTGAGAAGAGACATATACATATACAGTACACACTATAGAAGTCTGACTTCCTACAGTTCCTCTTGCAATTCATTCGCCTGCTCCGTGAGCAACTTTTTTTTGGATGGTAAATAGCTAATCCTTTCAATTGACAACACTCACTCACTCAGTACTAGAAGTGCTGAATGCTTTCTCTCCTGTGCTCTGCTCTGTCTGGAATCCTGGCATTGAAGAATCCCCACTCTGCAGTCGTTTATAATCCCGTGCAACTTATTTTCCTTCTCTTCTCCAGCTCTTTCCACACATGACAGTGCGTGCGGAGTATGCTAGGATTGCCTTGTGTCTCAGTTATAATTGCTTTGTGGCTTGGGATGGGAGAGAAAAGATCTAATTTTGGAGGGGGTGGTGGTGGAGGAGGATCTCTTGCTGAGAGAGTCTGGCAGAGACAATTGCTCTGGCAGGCTCGTCGTGCAGCTTTCACAGGGCTTCTCGCAACTTGGGCCAGGCCTGAATTGTATAATTTGGACGCTGCTGTAGAAGTCTGGGAGGATTGTATAACTTGAGACCTCACACACTTTGTACCACTTAAATTACGGCACATAGCAGCAGTGAAGTTTTAGACTGGCAACTTTTTTTTTTTTTTGCTTCCTGGCTTTGATATATCTTTCCTAGAAGATATGTAAGCTTGTAAAACCTAATCCATGGCTCTAGTTATCAGTCTGGGGTGGTTTATAAGTAGTTCCGAAGCAAGGAGCATGGAGTCCATGCAGAAGAACGTATCAGACAGGCCGTGTCTCTAACAGATATCTGTAGTGGCTGCAGAATGGCAAACATAAGAACATAAGAGATGCCAATGTTGGATCAGGCCAAAGGCCCATCCAGTCCAACACACTGTGTCACACAGTGGCCAGAAATACCAGTGCCATCAGGAGGTCCACCAGTGGGGCCAGGACACTAGAAGCCCTCCCACTGTTGACCCCCCCCAAGCACCAAGATGACAGAGCATCACTTGCCCCAGAGCCCCTATCTATACCTTGTGGCTAATAGCCACTGATGGACCTCTGCTCCATATGCTTATCTAATTCCCCTTTGAAGCCGTCCATGCTTGTAGCCGCCACCACGTCCTGTGGCAGTGAATTCCAAGTGTTAATCACTCTTTGGGTGAAGAAGTACTTCCTCTTATCCGTTCTAACCCGTCCGCTCAGCAATTTCATGGAGTTCCCACGAGTTCTTGTATTGTGAGAAACCCCGAATCCTAAAGGTTTTCTTGCCCTAGCGATAGGGTGCGGTCAGCTTCTAGACTGCTTTGCATATTCCCATACAAAGTAGTGACAGAAAACTAGAGCTACCATTGGATTTTAAGGCAACAGTATTTTTTTATATTAAGTACCACAGCTATAGAAAGCAGCATTGTTTATGCTCTATGGTAGCTTATCTCAGTGTAAAAGCATTTGGAGAAATTTTGTGAAATTGAATGGAATCTTTGTGTGCCTGTTCTTAATAATTTAGGAAAGGTAGCTTTTTTGTGTTGAGGCAATCTGCTCAATAATACTGAGAAGTGCAGCTTCCTAGGAAGGAAGTTGCTGAGGTGTAATTATCTCTGCTT